ACACACACACACACACACACACACACACACACACACACATAATTAAATCAGGCTGAAGACTTTTATTAAAGCTCTGATTTATATTCTTGTAGTTTAAGGTCTATGTGACGACTCTCTGCAGGTCTATGGGACGACTCTCTGCAGGTCTATGGGACGACTCTCTGCAGGTCTATGGGACGACTCTCTGCAGGTCTATGTAATGAACATAGTTCTTCTGGTCTGATGTGGTCTCACCTGGACCATCATGAGCGTCTTGCTGTCCCCGTTCAGAGAGTCCTGCAGCAGGTATGTGAGGCGTGAGTTCCTGAAGGGGACGTGGGCGTGTCGGCCCCGCAGCGCATTGATGACATCACCGAGCGCCGACAGAGACTTGTTGATGCACTGAGCTTCTCTGAGGCGACTGCCCTCCGCCCCCGACCGCCCGATCCTCTCAGAGCCCGCCAGGTCCACCAGGTTCAGCTTACCTGTAAACCAGACACACCAGAAACCCTCAGGACCAGCAGAGACCCCCGTCTGTCTGTAGACCGTCAAGTCTCTGTAACAACTAGGTCTAAAAACAAGCTACTCATGTTCACCAGGAGGAACCACAAGGTTCTGTTCTGGTGTCACTCTTCACTCAGATGACATCACCGTTTACGCGCGCGCGTGTGTGTGTGTGTGTGTGTGTACCTTGTGTGTGTGTGTGCGCGCGCGCGTACCTAGTGTGTGTGTGTGTGCGCGCGCGTGTGTGTGTGTACCTTGTGTGCGGTTCCCGGTAGCAGAGTTGACTCCAGACACAGTGATGATGAGCAGAGCGTGAGAACGAGAGCTGTGCTCGTTGAGGTTGGTGCAGGCCGTCGCTCTGTTCATGAAACCCAACTCAAACACCTGAAACGTGTTTTTTAAATGTTTAAAAGTCTGGTTCTGTTAAACAGGGTCAAGAATGAACTTCACAATAAAATACAGCTGCATATAGAAAGCAGAGACCAGCAGCTGACTGGAGGCGTTTTACACTGAAAGGACGAGCACAGTAGGAAGTCCTCACCCTGTTGATGTCCTCGGGGCTCTGGACAGTGATCTCGGTCAGTCCGGGGACGTAGAGCTGTCCGCTGCCATCGGGGTTCATCTTGATGTCCAGCTTGTCGGAGGGATTCTCCCCCAGCAGGTTCCTGATCGACAACAGAGACCTTTACAACCTGCAGACTCGACTCAGGTCTTAAACACATAGCAGGCTCAGGTCATGTGATCTTTGTTTACATTCTATATTTGTGGTTCCTGATAATCTGAGACCAGGTCTCAGAGTTCTGGACCGAGTCCACATGAGTCCTTTATACAGATGTTCTATTACAAAACATCATGAGTACATCATGTCCAGTACTTTATACAGAGTACAGTACTTTATACAGAGTACACCATGCACAGTACTTTATATAGAGTACACCATGTACAGTACAACATACAGAGCACATCATGTATTGTACTTTATATAGAGGACATCTTATTGAGAACATGATGTACTGTATATCATGTACAGCCTATGATGTACTGTGGCTCAGGGGGCAAGAATGTTAGTTAGTCCTGATGGAAGCCTCCTGCCACCAGTGTATGAATGGATGTGAATGGATGTGAATGACATGTAGTGTTAAAGCCATTTCAGTGGTCAAAAGACTAGAAAAGATCTATACAAGTACAAATCTATATATAGTGCAGTACAGGATGTACTCAACATAAAGTACTGTACAAGTAGTGCTGTTACTACACTGGTTCAGACAATTGGTTCTGGCTGGACCACCAGGTTCTCGTCTGAACCACTGGTCTCGGATCAGATCAGGGACTTGGTCTGCTCACCTTAGGGTCTCGTTGTAGATCTCCACCATGCTGACGGAGATTCTGTAGTCCCAGTCTGGAGCTTTGTCTGTCACCTCGGAGAACAGCAGGCGCAGCGCTCTCTGGTTAATGCCAGGGTTGTCCACGGCGCCCTGGACACACACAGACCTGTGGTTATGATCCAGAACCAAGTCCTGGTCCTGGTCCCACCTCAGAGACACATGACCATACCTCCATGGTGAACGTCTTCCCCGAGCCCGTCTGTCCGTAGGCGAAGATGCAGACGTTAAAGCCGTCGATACAGGAAGTGACCAGAGATTGGACCTCCTGAAACACCTGGTGGACCAATCAGAGAGAGGACACTACTTAGACAGAGTCCCTCTGAAGAGGATCAGGATCAGTTTGAGCCTCTTGTACCTCTTCCTGTGTGGCCTTAGGAGGGAAGACTCTGTCCAGGTCAAAGGTCATCATTTTGCCCTTGTTGGACAGGTAGAGGACGGCGTCGTCCTCCGAGTCGAAGCTCAGCATGTTTTTGGAGTCGGCGGAGTCCTGCACCTCGAGACTGACGGGACGGACGCGGCAGAAGACACGGATGTTACCTGGGAGACAGGGAGCACATGATGTCCTTCTGGTAAAACTAAAGCCTCTGTGTGTCTACGGGACACACAGAGGACAGTCTCTCTACGGGACACACAGAG